GCCATAACACTCTACCTAGGGTGATAGCTTGAGGCTCTGTCTCAAAAAAAAAAAAAAAAAAAGAAGCCTAGAAGTAGGGAACCCATCATAGAGATTTTTAACAAAATACAATCTGTGGCTCTAATATAATTTAAAAGATGTGAACTACAGTGGTTCAACAGGGGTTGAACTTTCGTAAGTAATTTTTCGTAAGTAATTTTCGCCAATGGGTTCTATCTATTCTAATAGTTTAACAAAGTAATAATTTAAATATTAAAAAAAATACCAGCACAGATTCTCCTTCTTCAGGATTTGGACATTTAACAGTAGAGAAGTCTGGATCAGGATCTTTTTGTTCTGGTACTGGAATTGGAGGCTTAAAACCAAACGCTTGAAAAGCCAACTGCACATAGTCATGTCCAACCCCATGAAAAGATGTATGCACAAATTTCAAGGTGGTCTTTGAGTTCAACTCCCTGTAAAGGAAAAATCACCATTTGATCAATATCATAAAACTTGTTACGTATGATATAATTAAAAATTGCCAAATTCTGGGAAAAAGTGATTAAAATCTTCAGCAGAGGTCTAAGATATTTTATTTATTTTTAATTTTTATTTATTTATTTATTTGAGACAGAGTCCCACTTTGTCACCCTTGGTAGAGTTCCATTGCGTCATAGCTCACAGCAACCTCAAACTCTTGGGCTCAAGCGATTCCCTTGCCTCAGCCTCCCCAGTAGCTGGGACTACAGGTGCCTGCCACAACCCCTGGCTATATTTAGAAACGAGGTCTCTCTCTGGCTCAGGGTGGTCTGGAACCTATGAGCTCAGGCAATCCACTTGCCTTCCCCTCCCAGAGTGCTAGGATTATAGGTATGAGCCACCAGACCAGGCCAGATGTCTAAGATATTTAAAAAAACAAAGTAGGAGGTATTAACTTAAAGATCAAAAGATTTCTAATTCAAATGCACTCTCCCTTTGTGGTTTAACTTCCTGACCTGGAAGTTAGCCCTCTGTCTGCGGTGCCCTTACCCTAAACAAGTTACCCTCTATCTAAGTATCATCTCTTTCCAGAGTCATCACAAAAACTTCCTGATTTTTCTCCCTCTCCAGCAGACCTCTCCTTTCTTTATTTCCTTTCATGCCTTGCTTAGATTCCCATGAGCTGCATTTTAATCACTTCTTATGTGTCACTTTGGTTACCTTGACCTTTTAATACTCCAACCCCTGTTGAACTCAATTAAGTACCTTTTCCAGGGTCTTTTCCCTTGATTAATTTGAGTTCTCTATAGATCCCAGTTATCAAGTTTTTGTCTGATTCATAATATGCAAATATTTTTTCCCATTTTGAAGGTTATCTGTTTGCTTTGGGTGTTGTTTCCTTTTTTTTTTTTTTTTT